AATTTGGGCCTATTTACCAACATTGTATATATCTTATATGTTTATCAACGAACATTTTTATTCTGAGTTAATCGCTTCATTAACCTGCTGCTTCACATTTCAGCGTTTTTTTAAATGAGAAGGTAAAAGTAAAATACATTTTTAGGATTTTTTGCAGTTGAAAACGTAAGTGACGTCACGGTCGGTTGAATGTTGTTCGCTCGGGGCCCCAAACCGGCGAGGACCGCCCCTGTCAGAAAACGCTGTGAGGAACGGTTTCCCTTCAGACCATCCCAGATTAATGCTGGGATTTTCCCAGGTGGATGGATTATGTAACATCCCTTAGCACAACTCTTTGTTTTCTGCAAACCACAGGATTAAAGTTAATTTAGCTTCATATTTGGATAAAGAGGATTTATTATTCAGCAGAAAGAAAAACTAAATTACACGAGTTTGTTGAGTCATGGAGCCGTTTCTGAACAATTGCTGACTACCAGATTATTATTTCTACAAATTATCCAGTCAAGATTCAAACTTTTCCCTCAAATGAACAGAAAATGGTTTGGATCACAGAAGATTTTATGGAAATATATTAAACATTTGTTTTTGTAGGGTTGTTTGGAAAGGGATGTGCAAATCACATTAGATCCAAAATTTAAATATTTTTGCATGATTAACCTTTTTAAAAGAAAAATGTTCCATTTGCAAATGTTTTATTTTAGATCAGTTTATTTAAAATCAGAACATTAAGTTTATCATCCAGAAAAAGGACAAGATTTGGGTCAGCTTTTTGAAAACAGCTGATGTATTTAGTCAAGCTTAATAAATGAACTGAGTCTGAAATGAAAGTTAATTGTGTTTATTAAAAGACAAAACAGTTCATGTTGCATCAAGAATTAACTTGTTGGAAATAATTAGAAATGAAAAGACTTAACCTGGGCTGAGAGGTGACTTTGCATCGTTTTTGAATCAGTCAATACTTTAGACAAAGGAAAAATGTTAAGCTGCAACTGTATGATTTAGGAAATGAAATGATTTATTGCATTTAATAGGTGCAAACAATCCAAATGTGTTTCACTTTGTGCTGTAAAAATGTAGTTTTTAAAAAGTTTTCCCACCTTTTGTCTCCATCAAACAGGAAGTTGTGACTTTTCCATCAGCATTTTTTTCACTTTCAACTGAGCATGAAAAACACAGCCATCCACCCGTTAACCTGTTCGTGAGAAGAGAGAGAGAAAAGTGAACACTCCCTGTTCCAACAATAAAAGTGCTGCAGAAACAACACAAAGCGGTGAGTAATAATAATCATCATCATCATCAGAGTTTCTGCCTGCAGCTGAATCTTTGCATCACCTGGACGTGTTTACAGTGAGATAATTCAGATTTTTGCTCGTGGGTTTTGTGTGTAGCAACCATGTTTGCATCTCAGCCGCCTCATTCTGGCCCGGATCGGTTTTGATTAGCAAAGAGCAGCTCAGTCACTTTGGGGAAACTCTCGATCAGATCAGCAGAGCTGCGACGCTCACGCAGCGCTCTGAGCTTCCTGCTACCCACTTCCCTGTGTTGGAAACCATTTGCATGTCCTGTCACTTCAAATTGTGAAATCTGAGTGGAGCATTTGCATACGGGCGTTTCACTGACGCACATGTGTGGGGCCAACGCGTGACCCAGTGGGGCTCCTTCAGTTGGCATGATACCAAAATATGATCAGTCCAAAGGTCATTCTTCTGACCTTAAGCTGGACTGAAAGCAGATGGAGTGTTTCCAGAAGCATCACAAACAGAAGGAAACTTTCCACCTCACGTTTAAAAAGCTGAGCTTGTTGCTGCCAGAAAGCAGCCTCACTGTGTTTTCCTCCAAATGTCAGCAAATCTTCTCTAGATGACTCTGTGATCGACTCTTCTTACTTGGAATGTCCCTCAAAACTCCTCAGGTAACGAATCTCTCCTCTGGGCTGCTTCTTGATGCTTGACGCAAAATACTGACAGTCAGTCATGGGGAAATAACTTACTTCATCTGAGCATGAATATGCAGAAGAACCCCAAACTAACCCAACCAACCTATGTAGCATTAAGTCATGGGCAAAACAAGAACATGATGATGTATTATTGAAATTTCTACTGATGTTTTTTATTTGCAAAAAATAGAAATAATGAAAACAAATTTGAAATTTTTGTTTTCATTTAACTTATTTTACACAAAAGTAAGAAACAACAAATTCAGCTCCTCCACAGAGTATTAGGGCCACAGCAAAAAAATAAAAAAATTATAATATGATGATGAATAAACTGGCATGACATAAAACTTGGAATAATAAGAAAGTAACGTCAAGCATAGTGTTCAAACAATGCGAGAATATTGTTGTAATATGGAAATAAATTCCTCATATTACAAGAATAAAGTCTTAATATCACCAGAATAAAGTTGTACGGTTTTATTTTGGAAATGTACTATTCAACTATTTCATTTAATTTTTTGTTTTTTTTGTTTTTGTTTTTTCATTTTTTTGTTTGGCAGTAATACTCTTCCATACAAAATAGAAATAAAAATTGGAGCATTTTGTAAAATACTATTGTTCTTCATTAACAGCCTCACTTTAGTTAAATTATTAAACCATATTCATACACTCTTAAAAAAACCCTACAAAATTTATTTTATATCCTGTGGATGGATAAATTATAAAAAAAATTGAATTCCTGATGTGAAAACTCAAAACTCCAAATAAAAAGTTGTTTTATTTTTTTTTATAAATGCATAAACACATAGTATAGTTAGTGTTTGTGTTTCTCTGTCCCACCAGCTGCCTGAACATTACTGTTGAATTATTATTTAAAATGTATCAATCAATAACATACATAAATACACATATGTATTTTTACTAAGCAGGTCTTTTCTTTATTTATATTTTCTCTGAATCAATTTACGGTGTTTATTTTTCAAGAGTTGCGACATTAAAGGCACTAAAAGTACTCCGTATAGCATTTGCTTACACTGTGGCACAAAGCTGCATGTTTCACTGGGGAGAGGTTTCCTTTCCCATTTCTTATTAAATCTAAAACTTTTTATTAGTACAGAAGTTCATATCTTATGTCCGCCCACGTCTGAGCTGCATTGGTCCAAAGACGCTTCATTCGGACCAATCAAAGCCCAGAGAAGGGATGAAAATCCCAAACCTCAGCCTCAGTCGAGACAATTCAGCTGTAACTCAAAACAGAAATACATTTATCCATTAAAATGAGCTCAATATGTCATCTGAACTTGGTTAAAACAGATCATGCAGGTGATTTCATCAACTAAGTCTCCTAATGTTGTTGCCGTCACAGAGTGGGAGAAACGACCTGACAGAAATGAAGAACCGAAACGATGCAGAGCCCATTCACTGAAAGCTCAAGGCTGTTGCTTTAATAAACGCTGGGGGAAAAATGGATTGGTGGAAATAAAATCCAAGGACAGAAATGTGAAGTAGAGTGAAAGCTTTGTGTGTCCAGTTGGTTTCTGGGATAAAATAAAAGCTCTAAACTGATTTTTGTGATTTTTCCAGATGCAGAAACAATCAAACATCTGCAAATGTCTGAAACTCCAGAGTTAAAAGTCAGGAGTCTTGTACAGGAGCTTGAACTTATGATAAAAATTTATTCTTACATTCAAAATTCAGCAACAAACAAGCTGAGCAACCTGAGCTCAGAATCCAAAATGGCTGCCAAGCTAATAAAATGAACTCTTCCTCAGAGGAAAGAGAAACGGGCCAGAGTTCATAGAAAGGCAGGGTGGAGGTTCACCTTCCAGCAGGTCAACCATCTCAAACATACCAAACAGTCATGTAAGAGTGGCCTAGTCAAAGTCCAGACCTAAATCTAACCTAAAAATTGAGTTTTCAGCCTTATAAAAATGCTAGAGACGAACGCTAGAGGTTCTGTTAGCATTGACTCATGGGGGGTGAATATAAACGCACGCCACACTTTTCAGATTTTGATTCTCTCCATTCAATATTAAACGGCTTTATGTTGATCCATCACATAAAAACCTCTGTAATTATTAAATGCAACTATAGAAGACAAAAGAACAAAAACTGATGTTATTAAATATTTAAAATAAAAACATGTCCGATTTAAATACAATTATTGCTATAAAATAACAATGTAAATATCAACAGAGGCCCCAGACTGAGGATACTGAATACTGAATGTTTCTCTCAGACAATATTTACTGCTGATGAAAACTGTCTCTCTCTGCTCTTCGTCAGGAGCGTCTCTGCGTGTCTCTGTGGGTGTCGAACCTGCCTGTGTTTGGTATTCCGTGCAGAAAGCCTCCCACGCCCCGTGTGTCCACCCACGCGCGGATTTGCGTCACGCAGGGAGCAGCGTGGGCGAGAGAGAGAGAGGAGAAGCAGGCTTTGTGGCGACCGCGCGGAATATCCCACTTTGTTCAGCTGCTGCGTGAAGCTGCACGTGGTTAGGATGACAAACAGGAAGTATTGACAAAATAAAAGCACAGGGTAGTCTGGAATGAAATGGTGACGTTGCTTTATGTTTAAAAAAATAGTTTTATTCAATACTGGAAAGTGAAACATAGAAGTCGGACACAGCGACTGTTCATTGTTATGATGGGATATTTTCAGACAAATTTCCAGGTTTAACTATTTAAATTTTTTCTGTTATTATCAGGCTCTTTTCTTTTGTTGCTTTCAGTTTAAGATCAAAAATTGTTGTTTCATCAAAATATGTCTTCAAAGAAAGAGTTACTTATGTTGCTCTGTGAGTATTTAGTGTTTGCATTTATAAAACACTGATAAATTCATTTTATATTGCCTTATTAAGTTAATACTAAATAACAGTCGGTCTGGATGGATTGTTTATTATTTAAAAACGCAGCGTCAGTGACGCATTTTGCTGCATTTTGCCTCAATAATCTGGATTATTGTTACGTTTCCAGCCTGTGGTGCTTTTATTTTGTAGGCTCAGGCGGAAGTGTCTGCGCGCGCCTCTTCGTGTGGTTTGACCTTTGAGAAGAGTGCAGGGGAGTGTTGAGACGCTGGGAGAGGACTCTCACACACTCACACACTCATCACACACTCCCCACGCACACACGCAACACACACTCTGAGGGAAGAGACGCACAAAGCTCCGCTGACATTCTGCGCTCTTTTCTCTTCTCTCTCTGCTCCAGAGGAAGGAAAAAGTTTTCACGCAGAGAGGAGAGGACACGCAGAATCACGCACAGCCTCTGCCTCGGTGCTGGTTCCGCTGCGTCCTGGAAGTTGAAGGTTCCGCCGGTCTGCGCGCTGCGCTCCTGCGGGATTCATTCTGTGGGATTCCTAGTTTCTTTCTGCTGTGCGCGAAGCGACGGGCTGTTGTTGTGTTTGGTGAAAACTGAAGAGGAGGAAGAAGAGGAACTCAGGAAAGGAAGAGGACCCGGACCAGGGCGCGCCAAACACTCACCAGGTAGGAAGACTTCATCCACCATGGCGCTTCCTCCTCATTCTGCTGCACATGATGATGAATCTGTGATCTAGTTCTGCTGCAAAGATAGAAATGCTCTGGAGAAATGCAGCCACGTGAAGGAACCGCAGTTAAATGTAACCAAGTCTGCAGGAGAACAGAGTAAAGTCCGTTTAAATCAGACATTTGTTAAAGCGCCAACATCAGTCAGTCATTCACTTTCTGCATCTTAGCTGTTTTATCTCTATGTAACCGGACTCTAAACGTTACAATTTATTGACATATTTGATGTTATTTTAGCTGCTACAGACAAACAAAGTGAGTATTTCAGGATTACATCACACACCCTCATGGAGGAACAAGCTCCAAACATCAGACTCATTTTATTTAGAAAGCACTTTAAAGATTCCTAATAACAAAACTGTACAACTCTGTGCACAAACACAAAGGTTACAAGTTTAATACACTATGCAGAAGTTTAATGCATTAGCTCATTATAAAGAGAAAACATAAACCTGGTAGTCATCTGCATACAAATGAAATGTTTTGTTTCCAGAGAAATGGCAGCAAGTTGCAGCATAAAAAGAAGGGAATGGAAGATCAGGAAGAGCTGGCAGCCAGTGAATAGAAATTTACTTTGTTAAAAATCAAACTTTAACATCTGGAACCGGTTCCCAGGACTCATTTCCTAAGAACAGAGAAAGAGTCGACTTTATTTCCAACAATCGTCACCGGATTTGACTTTGGCTTTTGGTGTTGCTCAAATTCAGGTATGAAAGTTCAACATGATTTCGTCCTTTTGTCATCTACTTTCTCCATTCCTGAGTTAATTTAGTCAAATCCATTTTTTGATGCTGGAGGGCAAACCAGGCTGTCATCTGCATAAAAATAAAAGGAAATTCAATGTTTCTGAAAAAAAGCATCAAGTAGAGAAAAAACAGGGATGAGAATAGAGCCTTGTGGGACACCCCTTGAAAAACTGTTTAAATCCTGCAGCACAAGCAGTGAACATTCATTAGTGTCCACTTTTGAAAAGGTGTTATGAAAGTGTCATGATGAGCTTCCAAGAACGCCTTCTGGTTGAGAAATGTCGGAGTTTATTTCCGGAATCAGAGCAAAGGGAGAGGATTCCTCTCTCCAGTCAGGAGTCCCACCTGAGCGTGTCAGAGCTGCTGTGATTCCAGAGGCTCACCTGCTGCTCACCCACAGGTCAGCGATACGCTTAGCTCCAGAGTTTTAGTCGGAAATGGAAGGAAAACATTCAAAATCAACACAATATGAAACGAACAAATTCTTCCTGAGCCTGGACGTTTCCTCATTGAAACTTCACATATTCAGATGACGTTTCACAGCAGCTCACTGAAAACATTCATGTTAACACAAGAAGCAGAGGAAAGGCAGCATTTTTGGACTAAATTCACCTTTAGTCATTAACAAAACCCAAAACGTGCAAAACAATCGTGATGCGGTTAACATCTGTGAAATAAATCGCCTTAAGAGTCCAGAAAATGTTTATCTGCAGTGAGTGACTCCTAAACCGGCGGAGGAGGACGAGAGCGCCTTAAGAAGCTCCACTAGCCCACGTGTTTTTATCATCAATGCTAATGTTCTTTAAGTGACATTTCACACTCCTTTATTTTCCACCTCTTCTTTATCAAATCTGCTCACGTCCTGCATGTCCTCGTTTTGTTTTCCAGACTCAAAGCTTTGCTCAACGTTTGCTTTAAAACTCAAACCTGCTGTTTTTCACTTCACGGTTCAAAACAAATGTTTTTCAGCTAAACATCACTGATATCCGGCTGAATGAGTAATGCAGCTGTCAGGAAGGAAAAAGCTGAAAATCACTGATTAATTGAAAATCAGGGCTTCTGATTGTAAAAGACGGTTTTGGAAAGTCTGGAAGCTTGAGGTCAGAGGTGAACGTGTCTCTGGTCGGCCTGCAGATCTGATGCTGCTGATGCTGCAAACTGTTTGCAGCATCAGGAGGAGGGAGGAAGAATCAGAAAGCAGCTGCTGAAATCTGGAGGTCAACCAGGGGCTGTGCAAAGAGGGGCCCACCGGGGGGCCTTTATTCATAGTATTCATAGTATTTTTAAAAAATGAAATAATATTATTACAAAGGTTTTTGTCGAACCTTTGGCATATTTCATTAGATAAACTTTTATAGTCTGGCCTTTTTTTTAATTATTCTGATCAAATATTATCAAATTATTCTGATCAAATATAAACTTTTATAGTCTGGCCTTTTTTTTAAATTATTCTGATCAAATATTTTATTACAAATCTTTCAGTTTTTCATAAACTCTTAAAATTTGGAGTGATATATATATTTTAAATTATGGCTCTGGTAAAATAAATATTGATAGAGGAAAATAAACACCATCTATACTAATATTACAAATCTAATTATTTATTTTATCTAAAATTTTTCACAAACTTTGATTATTTGACCTTATCCTATGACTATATAAATATAATAATTTATCACAAATCTAGGGTTTAAATTTGGTCTCAGCATTTTATTGTTTGCCTTCATCGTATTTTTTGAAATATATGTTAAATAAATAACCCAGTGCTGTATTTATGGGATGAATATGTGTAACATATTTTTGAGGGTAAATTGGAATCTCAGAAGCTGTTGAGGAGCGGCTCGTCTGGCTCTGGTCTTTCTGTCTGATGACAGAATGAGGACAGCGCAGTGAAAGTCCTGATATCCGGCTGAGCCGTTTGGTTCTGGTGTGAAACCAGAACCGTCTGTTCGCCAAATCTGGCCACCAGTACTCTTGGTTATTTCAGGGTGAGGTTGCGGCGGATCTTCGACTCCGGGAACCTTTTGAGTCCGTTTGAACAAAAGCGACTCAGATCCTCCGTTACATCAGTTTGCACACGTTTGTTTGCTTTAGGTTTTCTAGAAGCTTTTCAGTCCGTGCTGCAGATAAGGAACTCGCTCTGACTTCACGTTTCTTCCTTTGTGTTGCCGGTCGACGTCCATACAGGTCCGAGCTGCAGAGATTTACAGGGAAACACGCTGCTGAGTCACTGCAAACTAATACATGTAGAGATTAGTGTTTACATCTGATGAAACCTGCATGTTGCAATAGGTTTACATGATGTCCAGTGTAAATCAGGCTGATTGGAGGGATTTGTGTACTAAAAACAAGGAAGTTTTTGAGGGAACAATCCGACAGATATTTATTTACGTTTGGTTTTGTGTCAGGCAGCTTCTGTCTGTGTCATTTTGTGAGTCGACGCCTGCCTGGCTCCCCAGGCCTATTCTGGGCGAGGCAGGCCCACCACCTACACATCCTGCAGGGGTGGAGAGAGGCATGTGGTCCTCCCTGCAAGCCGGGCCGGCTGCCACTCCTCAGTCAGTCCAGCCTCCGCAGGGCCTCACATGCACCCAGGAAGACTCGCAGCCAAGCCTGTACTCCCTGAATCAGCTTAAAGTGGCAGGAGCACGCCGTGACTTCAAGCTTTTTGTGAAAAGTTTAGATTAATGGCGGCATTAACGGAGGATAAATACCAACCTGATGGATGTAGAGACACTTTCAGGGAGGAAAATGGTGGATATTTTGAAATACTTAATCTGTGTTTTCTCAATTCAACTAACAGGCTAGAGCTAAAAAATAACACTATCATAAATGAATGCGAGCTAGTTCTGCCACAATAGCAAATTTGATCAGATTTTTCCTCAACATTTGAGGCTCAACAGGTGCATTCAGTCCTTCCAATCAGCAAAGGACTGCTGGCATCTATCCTTTTGAAATTTCTTCACTTTTTTTAAGAAAAAAGGTGAATATCCTGATCTGTAGCTCCGCCCCCTTCCTCTCCGCTGTGCTGCAGCTCTGCCTCCATGGAAACTGTGCAGGTAGCATCATAAATGAGGAGCTATTAGCTTTAAAAGGGCAACAAAAGAGTTTCGCCTTCAGTTTTCTGAATTGCTTGTTTGCAGAAGCATCCTGTAAATAATGCTTACATGACATCAGGAAAATATATTTTCACACATTTTTTTCACTTTAAAGTCCAAATACAACTGTACTGACTTAAGTGTTTGAGCAGGACTTTGGCTTTTATATGTTGTTGTCATAAAAACAAAAACCAGACAGAAGTAAAGAGGTCAGAGGTTAACAACCAATCCCAACCTCAACGTTCAGTAAGACAAATTAAACTTTTGAAGATTTCATCTTGTTGAGTCTTTCAAAGTCATGGTTGTTACTTCTCATGTCGTTAACTTGTGCTAAAATGAGTTAGCCAGATGACGAGACGGTAAATGTTTTCAGTTTATCTGAGTTGTTTGCATCGGCTGACTCTGGTTCCTCTGTGTTTCAGGCATGGCGGCGGTGTTGCCGAGGACCCTGGGTGAGCTGCAGCTCTACAGGATCCTGCAGCGCGCTAACCTCCTCTACTACTACGAGGCTTTCATCCAGCAGGGCGGCGACGACGTGCAGCAGCTGTGCGAGGCCGGAGAGGAGGAGTTCCTAGAGATTATGGCTCTGGTAGGGATGGCCAGCAAGCCGCTGCATGTGCGGCGCCTGCAGAAGGCGCTGCGGGACTGGGTCACCAACCCGGCCATCTTCAACCAGCCGCTCACCTCGCTGCCCGTCTGCAGCATCCCCGTCTACAAGCTGCCCGAGGGTTCCCCCACACTGCTCAGCGCCCAGGACCGCTCCAACACCGCCAGCGTGAAGATTCCCAAAGCCATCGCCGCCGCCTCCGACCCGGGGAAGCTGGACGTGGCGAGAGAGAAGGTCTCCACCGGGTCGCCCCTGCAGGGGAGCAGCGAGGCGCGGTTCTGGTCGGGCCACAGCAATGACAGCGAGCACAGCCTGTCTCCGTCGGATCTGGGCTCGCCGTCGTCCCCCAGAGACGCCATGGAGGCCCTGGGCGGCGGCGGCAGTGCAGTCGGTCCTGGAGTGCGTGGACAGGATGGCGCCTGGACTTCCTAAGACGGACCCGGCGGACGTCAAAGAGCAGCTGAAGAACAACAAGAAGCTGGCCAAGATGATCGGACACATCTTTGAGATGAGCGACGAAGACCCGCGGAGGGAGGAGGAAATCCGGAAGTACAGCGCCATCTACGGGCGCTTCGACTCCAAGCGGAGGGACGGAAAACACCTGACGCTGCACGAGGTGCTTCACCGAACCGGAGAAACTGCGGCCCAGCAGGGGGCGCTTCCTCTGTGTAACCCGACTGGTTTGTTTCCTGTGCAGCTGACGGTGAACGAGGCGGCGGCTCAGCTCTGCATGAGGGACACGGCTCTGCTGACGCGCCGCGACGAGCTGTTCGGACTCGCCAGGCAGATCTCCAGAGAGGTCACCTACAAATACACCTACCGCCAGCAAGTAAGAGACGAAGAGCAGACACAGATCACTGCTGCAGCAGTGTTAGGACTAGACCACCACCAAAAACTCAAAAATTCAAAATTCATCTCAGAAAAGTTCTAGAAAAACTTTTCTCTTCTCCAGAAAATAGCTCTAAAATTTCTAGATTAATCTCAGAAATTTTATAAATCTGAAATGTCTGAGCTCCAGATTTACAAGAAAAACCCTGAAATTATAAATAATTCAAAAAACGTTTAACTTTTCTGACCTTGTAAAGTCGAAATGCCAACTTTTGAAAATGTTCAAAAGTGGAGAATTTTCATGTATTTTAACATCTCATTTGTGAGATATCTGAAGTTTGATAGATTTTCTTTAGGATACAAATGCAGCACAAACTTGGCTCCAAAGGAAAAATGGGTTAAACAGACTTTCCATCCTTCCTCTAAGACATGAGCAGAACCAGAACCGAAGGTCCAGAACGGTAACTAATGTTTTGTATCTTTCCTGATCTGCAGATCTCGGTGTGGAGACAGAGACGAACCGTCGCCTAAAAGGATCAAAACCGAGGTGAGTTCATATTACTGTGGATCAGAGACGCCGTCTTCTGACAATCAGGCAAAAATGTACTTTAAGTAAAGTTTTCTACACTCTACTTTTTACTTGAGTCATTTTCTTAGTTGAGTAAAATTTCCAGATTTTCCTGCAGTTTCTGTTACATTTTCATAACTTTTAGAAAGAAACTGATTTGCAAAATGTTTATGTTTCCAGTTTTTTTTTTCTATGAATTATTTAAATTTTGCTTCACGAACTACCAAAATTTCCACATAAACTTTGTACTTTAGTCCATCTGATGATGTAATTTTAATATTAAGTGATTATTCAGTGCTTGAGTCGGCCTTTTACCAATACTTTTTACTTTTAGTTGAGTTAAAATATGTTGAAGTAGTTTTAACCTCCTTCTGGAAACAAAGCGCTGCTGTGTGACGTTTAGGTTCTTCTTCTGCGCTTTCGGGTCGTAAGCCGTTCACACATAAGTCTGATTGCTGTTGCATTTAATCAATAGAATGAACAACAACGTAAAAAAGATTTTAGGTCAACACGATTGAATTTTTCTCACTTTGTGCTGCAAATGTTTGTGTTTGAACCTCTGAATGGTTTGTGTGGAATCATGAAGTGAAACATCAAAGTAACGAAGCTGAAGCTCCACATTAGTGCGGGTTCGGAGGACTCGGGTCTGGCAACTGGAGCTCCTCTGAGAGCGTCGATCTGGAGCCGAGTACAAAGCCGGGTCTGAGCGCTGCTCTCCCGGCGCCGCTCGGCCCGGAGCCGGTTCTGAATGGCTCCTCTCACAGAGCGAGCCGCTGATGGAAAACATGTGGCGGCTCCACAGGGATCCAGAGGCACAGATGATCCGACACCTGTTCACACAAAACAGGGGATTCCCGTTTAAATCTGCTTAAAGCCTCATTTAAAGAGACAGGCCCTTATTTCTGCAGATAGAGTTCAAATAAAGACAGACTGGAAAAGAAGATTTTTTTAATTGACTGAAGGGACGTAACTGTGCTGCAGGAGAACTTCTTTGACATCCAGGAGGCGCTGCAGGCCATCCACATGAGGCAGGAGATGCTGAGGGAGCAGCTGGCCTGCGCCAAGTCCAAAGGAGAGGAGACGGTCGGACGCAACCTGCAGGTAGGACCAACCTGGACGACGTCCAGGAACCAGACACAACATTTAAGATTTCACTGCTGCAATAGTTCCTTCTGCTTTTACAGCTACAAAACCTTTAGATTATTCACAGTTTTCATTACGTGTTAGATGTAGAAAGAGTCCCGCAGCATGACACTGCAACTTTAATTTTATTTTTTTTTTACAAAAATGTAATAGTAGTTTTAATGCATTGTTATTTTTGAGACTGATTGTAAAATTTTTCATATAAAGAAGAGATTTCCTGGCTGTGTTGGTGAGAGACGTCCTGCTGTGATTTAAAGAGACAGTGACAGATTAAGTCTGTATCTATAGATACTTAGGAGCCTCGTTTTGTGCTGATTGGTCAGTTTTAGACCAGAATTAGCTTGAATTAGCATATGAAAGACCATCAGAACGCCGGACTCCCAGCTGATGCCTGGTCTCTGTGCGTCAGATGCAGCTGGAGCGCCTGCTGGCGAGGCAGATGGAGATCCTGCAGGACGCCGCCGTCCAGGAGCGGCTGCAGGCTCTGGACTGGAGGATCCCGCCCGCTGCGCTCAAGTACCTCAACGACGCCCAGAACACCAACGGAGCCGCCGGTGCCGCCGACCTCAGCAGGGACAGCCAGGGTAGGTCTTTTCAGCACTTTTCACTCATTTCTGACACTTTTTTCCTGGCTCTCTGCTGCCCCCTGTGCCCAGATACGGCGCATTGTTTTCACTCTTTGTTGTTTTTGAGCTGAATTTAAATCTAATTCACGTCGACATGAAGCTTTTGACTGGAAGTAAACGCCTGAAAGGTGCAGATTTTCCACAGTCGGCTGTCAGTCGTTGTTCTGCCTGGAGTTCACAAACAGAGGAGAGGAGGCGCATCATTATTCAGGATCTTTCTTCTCCTCCAGGCCTCGTCTCATTTTCATCCTTTTTCCTCTCTCACCCACTCCCGACAGCTCATTATAACGCTGTTCCCACAAATCCCACAATGCACCTGTAATTATGGCGCCCACGCCTGTTTACCTCTAGCCAGAAGCCTGGAGGGGGGCGTCTCTCTCTCTCTCTCTTTTTCTCTCTCTCTCTCTCTCTGCTCTACTTTTCTTCCTCTTTTTCTTTTTTCTGAACTTTTCGTGACTCCTGTCTTTAGATAGAAACACTGAGTCCGATCTCATTCCTGGTCGTTTTCCTCCAGATGATCGACCAATCAACCTGCGGGTGGTCAGTCAGAGCATGCAGGAAGGAGACCTCCCATTGGGCAAGCAGCTAGCCAATGAGCTGAAGCGCCATCACAACCACAACCACAACAACAACAACAACCACAACAGCAGCAGCACAGATGAGGCTAAAACACCAGCAACAGGTGATTCACTTTGAATCAAACCGGCTTATTTTTGTCTTTAAAAAACGACTGTAAACATGAACCATGTTTGCAAAACTGTCAAACAACTAAACTGTAACAGCATCTTTCACATGATGTAGCTTAATATTCAGAGTTTACCTGAATTACAATTTAAGTTTTAAGATATTTTGAGATTTTGCCAGGGATTACACAGCTTAGCACAATGATGAAACACGCTCTAGATTTTTGAGTTTGAGTCTTAAGTTCTTGTCTGAATTTGATGGAAAGGTGTGAATCACCATAGCAGCAAGTGACGAAGCGTTTGAGTTTTATTTTTTACTGTTAGACGCTAAATTAGTCGTAACATTATGAGCAGTATGTGCAGAAAAAAGTTGATATCTGGTGAATTTTTCAGTAGTAACCAGACTGGAATCTATCGGCTCGTTTTCTGAAAAACCTGTATGCTGATGATGCTGCGTTTTATGTGTCTCCAGAAAACGGGACGTCACAGCGAGCGCCCGGCAACGCCGAGAAGAAAATCATCAAATCAGAGCCAGAAGACTCCACATAGTGCCTCCCGCCTCTCCATCATCCCACCCTCTTCATTCTACTCACTTGACAGTATGCAGTTATCACCCATCTATAGATACTAAGCAAGCACAGCCACAGTAGAGCCTTAACAACCAACGTTGCCTCATGAATAGCATTTATTTTAATTTGTCTTTGTTTTTAAAAGTATTTGCCAAAGCACCTGAGAGCACATCAGGAAGCCCCTCGGTGCTCTTTGTGTTTCCTTTGGATGTTGATGTGAGTTAAACTTGGTACCTCTGCTTTCTGTGGCAGGGCCTGAATCTTAACTCCACTACTGCTGTGGAGGCTCAAGCATTGGATGGTGTTGATGCAGTTAGAAATTTCTGTTTTTAAACAATCTTGTCGCAAACATGATCTGCTTGCTAAATCCACACTGTTATCGTGCTCGTTCAGGGCAAAGGTCACTGTCAAGAATCAGTCTTGGGAGTGAACTGCAAACATTTCACCAGGCAGTTACGATTTAGTTTCTAGTGCAAATGTCTTAGTGCATGTGAAATAAGACAAACTTAACTTGTTTTAAGTGAATAACTCCTTAATGTTGATTTAAACAAATACTGGATCCACTGGCAAAAATGTTTTGCTTTAAATGATATAATCTGCAACAGGAACTCGTATGTTTTTATTCATATTAAGGAATTATTCATGTCAATCAATCTGATTAACTAAATGAAATTGAACTATTTATTTTTTCTGTAACTTTATAGCTGTGAATATTCTTGGTAAACTCACAATAGTCACATAAAGTAGTTATACTTTTACTACTAAACTGCACACAGTAACTATTTATTCATATTTTCAAATGTACTTTTATTTATTGATGCTCTCATTGAATAAAGTGGAGAAAATAATTAACTTGGGAGATTTTAAACCTCATTCATTTGATTTTATTGTGACAAATGATGCCTGGAACTAAGATATTTGCACTGGAAACTAGAACAATAGTAAGTGATATTTATTTTTTGTTTTTACGGTTTGAATCATGAACACATCTGTAATGGATTTATACCTTTAGTTTCCATCCAGGTGTTTGCTGTAGAGGGTGGCGGGACAGAGGGTGAAGTAAGGAGGCCGAGTTAAGGTGCAGCCCTGCAGCAGGTTGTCATTTTTTAACGTTTCCTTCGAACGAGGCGGGACCGACCGCTGCTGCCTTGTGTGTATTATGGCAGGTAATTTATGAAGAGGATGTACAGGAGCTGTTGTGGATCAGCAGCAGCAAACGTTTCACGTTGTAATTTAGCAAATTGCTGCTGTCAGAGGAGAAACTTTCAGGAATAAACTCCTGCGTGTTTCTGAGGACACAGGAAAAGAAGCGAAGCTCGCAGGTTTGGGGGGTTTTGTTGCAGCGGCTGCAAGATTTAAAAATGACAAAAAAAAAAAAAAAAAGTTTATTGCTGTTGAAGCAGCAGCTTGTAAATATAACAAATAGCCTAATCTGTCAGTTTTCTGTGTCCAGTGTAACTTTGCTGTAGATTTTTGGTGTCGATACAGTGTTCATGTATGTAGAGCTACAACAGAAAAAAAGAAATCTTAATTGTCACTAAGGAAAAAACGGTGTCTGGTATATAAGAACTGCTTTTAGCCTTAGCTCTAACAGTGTTTTCTGGCCATGTGTGCAGATTTCCGACGTGTTGTTGATGTTTAGACGTAGAAACATGACGGCTCAGTGTTCTCTGACCCCCTGCACATAGTTTAGTCTTGTTCAGAGATCAATGCAATATTTATGTAAGTAATAAGTCTATTTGCATCCTAACGCGTTTTCGTCATGTGCTCAGTAACTGTGTGTCTGTCACCAGGGTGGGACCTTCTGGGAAACGTTTTCGTCTGTCTGATTTTCTGCAGGTTAGCGATGGCAGAACGCTCGCATGTCGTCTCTCTGATCACTGTTTCCTTTAAAGCGATAGATTAGGCTTTCACCCAGTTATGCACCTGTTTTTTAAACACTAATATATTTTATTTGTTATACAGCACATAAACATTAAACTTTATTTTTTGAACTCTATGGTTTGGTGTGTTTTCTGGTTCTGATTCTGGTTCCTGTTTTTTATATTTTATTTTCTGGCTGTGTGGATGTAAAAGGGATAAATTGATCACATTATGCCTTATTGGGGAAATGTAACTTTATTTTTGTAATGTTTTCCCTTTGCTTTTTCCATCCCATATATTTAGATTTTCTTTGTCTTTTCTTTTTGTTTACTTCTAGTTCAATGGTAACAAACAAATCCATAAATTGCGCATTCAAAAATTCAGAACATAATATTCTGATCATATTTTTAGCCTTACAGCAGCAGGTAGGATGGAATAATTTGTTTACAAAATGTTTACTTTTCCATTTAAATCGACTCAGTTTGTCTGTAGGACCAAAACCCATCTGTCTAATGTAAAAATGAATCAGAATAAATTCCTCCCAGTCTAGAAAAATCCCAAATAATCCCTCATTTATAGGATTATTTTGGATTAGAAAAATAAAGAGGGATTTTCTTAAAAGGGTTAAAACCTCATAAAATGCATGATTAACTGATATGTATAACTTACTGAGGACTGAAGTTAATAATGACCATAAAAACCCAACCAATCTGAAGAAGTGATGTGATTTATCCTTCAGGAAGCCGCCATGTTTGGCCCTTTGGTCTCCGCTGCAGGTGAGTCTGCTGGGAGGATGAGCTGCACATGAATCCCTGAGTGGATGATTTGCATCAGCGTCACATCAACACATTGTGAAAGTGGCTCATGACTCACTCTGACGCAGGTCTCCTTCTCTCTCACACACACACACACACGCACGCACATAGATACGTAGACAGATTTTCTCTGGAGAGCAGCTCGGCTCATGAACGCCCACCGAGCGCCGCTCCTCCTCCTCCTCTTTCCTCCCTCCTCTTCCAACACAAGATGATGATGATGATGATGGGGATGTGTAACCATGGCAACGGCTGGAGGTGGGCGGCGGCTCCACCGGTGGTGGGCGGAAGCCAGCCAGCCAGCCGCTGAGCAGCGTGGGAGGGATGTGCAGCCATCAGGTTTGGAGGGAGCAGGAAGCGGCGGTGGGCGGCTCCGCCTGGGATCCCGCTCCGCTTCCTTTGTTTACTGCCTCAGAAAGGCTACGTTCAAATTTTACATTAAAAAGCACCACCAATGTTCTTGGTCATACTTATACCAAACAAAAAGTGGAGACATGATGCTTTCTACGTCAGCAGGGGGACAACTATAGCTAAAAAAATTTAAAAAGTAGATTTCCACAAAAAAAATATTTTAACCTCAGAAATATTGTAGAAAAACTTTGTGAACTCACAAACTGAAAATTTTGCGAAGAAAAAAAATCTCTAAAAAACGTGAAAATTTCAGAACGTCAAAAGTTTTACATTATTCTTGTTTTTAGAAAAAAAGACATTTTTAAGATCCAAAGACAAAAAAAAAGAAAGAAATTAACTCAGACATTTTTAGATTAATCTCATAAAATGTCATGAAAAACTTAGAAGTTTTCTGAGCTTCCAAGTTCATCATTTGTGAGGAAAAAGGATTACATTTGGAGATCAATTTCATATTTTTTTAGGATAAACGTAGAAATGTTTAAGATTCACGTCTTTTGCAAGAAAAAAATACTAAATTTCAGATAATTGTTTTCTGAAATTCTAGATATTCTGATCTCATAAAGTAGAAAATTTGCCAAGAAAAAACCTGAGAAATTCTCTTGAAAAATCTTCTGGGCTCCAAAGATCAAAAATTTGAAAAGAAAATATATCTAACCAGATATCTAAGGACAATAATAATAATAATAATAATAATAATAATAATAATAATAATAATAATAATAATAATAATCATCATCTTTAATTTTGAGAATAATCTCTGAAATTTTCCAGAAAAACTTTTCTGAGCTCCAAATGCCAAACATTTCTGACAGGCTTGAATACTTTCATGTTGTGGTCGTGATGTGACAAAATGGAAAACCTGAATTGCATTAAAACTTTCACATCAAACAAATGCTGATCAGTTGAAAGATAAGCAGTTATAGCAGTTATAACAGAAAAAATGTCTGCATGCGCACAAACCGAGGCCACGTCTACGTACGCATCTGCAAAGAAGGAATTTTTTTTTTGACTGCGTGTTGATCAAAAAATGCAGATTCCTGTAATTTTTACTGGAAGTCCCCTTTATTTGTCTCTGTTTTCAGGTCAGACTCATGCATGAATATTTGATGCCCAGGTTCAGAGGCGTCAGCTCTGATCGGTTTGTTTTATCCTCCTGGGAGGTCCAGGTGGGTGGAGTTTCTATGTCGACATTTAGATAAAGGCTGATAAGAGCCGAGAGAGAGAGAGCAGAAAGTGGGATCAGCAAATAGTTTCCAATGAGTAATCGCTTTTGTAGGTCATTTGTTTATGGGTGTCAAAAATCACCCACACAGGTTATTGAAGGTCAGAATAAACATTTTAATTCGCTTCAACTGGATTTTATTGCTGAGGAACAGAGCAGATAAATATCAGGTGGTTAATGCTCTGCTCCTTCCAGGAGATGGCGCTAAATTCACTTTAATCCCAGAAAGGGTCACATTATTGAGAAATGAAACAGGATGCAGAATCAAAAACGCCCACACGGTGGCAGAGCAGGATAAGATGACCTCCTTCAGCAATTACAAAATTAAAGATAAAAGTCTAATTAAGATAATGGAAGTATAAAACTTGATTTCGCAGCAGTTTTTTTTAAAAATGCAATCTTGTTTTGTAGTCTCATGGCTGCTACTATTGTGTTTATTGTTTTAAATGTGAAAGTAAATCAAATTTAAATTTCTGCTTATCCATTTAAGAGCAAAAAATTGCAGGAAGTAATTTGCTTATTAGAACATCTGGTCATAAAAACATTAATTAACTCGATATAGTTAATTTTTTCATCTTTTGTGTAGTTTTATTTATTGAAATTATTAAGTATGTAAAGATTATGTAGGTATGTAGACAGGTGTAATAAATATAGTGAACAGATTTATGGACGAAAACATTGGGTCAAAAAGTAGGCGGGACTTTATGGTGATTGAGAGACGTTTTAGCCAATCAGAGGCCACCAAGGGACGGAACTGTCCAATGAATCGCCGCCCCGGGAGAAAGGTAGGTTGTGGATATTCAGAGCCGTAGAGTCGTAAGGAGAACCGTTAGGAGGAGGTTTCCGGAGGAACTCACTTTTCCAGGTTTATTTCACCCTTCTGCACCCAATACAATCCGGAAAACCTGTTCGGTTTTTAGGGCGAACATAAAATGTTGCCTTTTCGCTCGACGGCAGCTCTGAAGGAGTTGCTCCAGAGCCAGCTGAAGTGGCCGGTCAGAGCCGCTATGATCGGTCCCCCCGCGGCCGCGGCTGCCCTCAGCTTCGCCTGTCCGCTCAGCGGCTGGAGAGCCCCGCAGCCCGGCAGGAAGGCCGGCTATCGGGGCTTCTGCACCGCGAAGGGCCACAGCGAAGCCACCAGCGACACCTCCGGAGATAAGTGAGTAATCCGGGTTATCGTTTGAACCGCTTAAACCCCGCAGTTAAATAATTTTTTAAATATGATTTAAAGTATCGATAAATGTGACAACATTCTGATCAGGCAAGATAAAAAACAGCCTAAAGCGAAAACCAAAATATACAGTTGTCCGAAAATGGGAGCATGTGAGGTGCAACGAGCCATGAATCGTGACCAGCAGCTTCTGCATCATCATCATCATGTTCAGCTTCATCCCAGAGGAGATCCGGTTAGACATCAACCTGGGAGCTGCTGGTCAAACGATAACAACACAAACAACCAACTCAATGACTGCTGAAGGTCAGGCATGACTGCGTCCGGGTCCAACCAGCAGCCCTGTTACTTCAGCTGCATCTACTCATTATATCACCGACAAGTTCATTTATGTCAATACTGCAACCACAAACAGACTTATAATTAATCTGGATTCATTACACACTGATTATTATGTTTATTTCAACGTGGTTGAGGCTCCTTTTGCCCAGATTGCATATTCCGTATGTGGTTCTGCTCATTTAAAAGCTCTAAATGTTCTGGTAGATCCTGGTCAGACCCAAATGCTTTGATTTCCAAATAAAATGCACCAAGCCGCTGTCTGGTTCTGGTTCTGCTAGAATAGTTGATGTCTCTGATTCAAGACTGACTCTCTTTAGGACTCTTGAATCTCAGCATGTTGTAAATCTCATATCCACACATCCTTAAAAAGTCTTAAAAACATTTATGAACAGTAAAGGCCTTAAATTCATGTTTAGAAAGTGAGTCAGCCTTAAATACTTTAATCACAGGTTTTAAATTTTGTTGCATCATGACTTTTTAATCTTGTATATTGTATTAGATTTTCCTTGTGAGACTTTTTGTTAGGCAAAAGTTAGATTACTTTTACTAATTGCTAATACACAATTGCTAATTAGCAATTTTGCATATATTTGTAAGTCTGTTTAAATTCTTTTAAATATAGACCTATATTGACTTGTATACAAATGTATTTGATAACTCTGCAGCAATAGAGCACAGTTAATATACCAATAGCTTCACAAGCTTGGTCACACATGTAAAAATAATTAAATGTTTTCAGTCAGTGTAATTAGCAATCTGACAATGTAAAATAAATAAAGAAACCGATAAATCAATATAAAAATAAACTGCATCAAACCTTTTGGATGGTTCAGGAAGTGCAGTTAGAAATTCTAGATATATCAATGAAGTTATGCAAATCTGCATTCACCATTAATGCAACATTAGTGGTGCATCTAATCACTCTTACCTGTGCACTTTTTCCTTCCACACATTTTTCCATCAACATGATTGGATACTGCAGCTTCCCCTGCATGTGTGAAACTTCCAGGCTGCAGATTAGAGATTAACTGTGAGGATGGATGAAGGTCGTTGTCTCTTACAGCGTCAGGCTTTTACTGTACGAAAGGAGTCCAGATGTCTCTTCAAAATGGGAAAGAGAGGTGAACACTATGCTTCCCCCAACAGGCTGATATCTGCAGTGGTAATCTGTGGAA